CGTTAAGGTACAGGAGATTCTCCCACTATAAACTCTCTCTAAAAATAAAAGTAGTGAATGCAGTAATAGTATTTCCAAAAGTTCTAATATAAGAACAAAATCGAATCTAATTACATATACATATAAATCACATCAGCATATCAAATTGGTGTTACGAGAGTAATGAGTAAATAGAGTTAATCAAAAAGGTGAAAAGGCAACAGTATCTAGAATATGCCCAGTAACCTTAATGAAATAACTAATTATCCATGATGAATTATACACCAAATGAAGAAAGATCGGAATGGTGACTTCGAGGGCACCAAGTATAGGATAGATGGTAAAGAAACAAGAGTGCTGATGCTGGTAAATAACCAAATAGACAGTAGAGAAATACTGCATTAATAGCTAATGATATCCTGATCGATCTAATCAGTATACACGGCTAGTATCCCAAACTATCATAGCCCCTCGGGATCCCAAGTAATAAATAAATCCAAAGATGTATGTCCGTGCTCATAGGAAGGAAGAGGGTTGCTGGGGGGACACAAAATATCTAGCCTGATAATCGCAATAATGTCTAATCTACGTGCCTCAACGCGCGTTTTGCCTAACTTACAGGCTCATCAGGGGGATGTATTGTATCTTTTAGTTGACACACAGAGATCAATATACTTAGTTTCAGTTCATACTGATGGTAACAGATTCCCTTGTATTGCATCGACATTTTGTATTATATTTTATCTCTGATATGTAAGAATCATTACACTGAATGAATTGTCAGCTTTACTTAGGGGGCTACCACGCATTGTATCAATTGTCTGATCTATAGATACTATCATTTATCCATTGTTAAAACTCTTTCTATTACCTTATCGATCTATTTTCATTTTTCTTTTTACTTATCTTTTTTATTTCTATGTATGCTCTTTGTCTTGGCTGCCGTAATTGACTTTTGTTGAGTCAGGCAGCCATTGCTGGGGTCTTTTCAGATTTATGTTTTCCATTTATTAATAAAGTATCTTCTAGATTTTTAACCGTTTGTGTATATCCGATATCGGCATTAGGAACAGATTCCTTTTTCTTTTCTCCTTTGTTCATAAATGTGAAAGTGTAATAGCCATTGTTACAATATTTATTCTGATTGTTTGACAGGTACTCTGAAAGTGCGAGTAAAGGGCTGTCACGGTATTCTGGAGAATATACCTGGCAGACTAAAGGACCCGTCCGATGTTCTCCCTGGCAGGAGTCCGCGTCGAGGAAGATTCTTATTAATGAACCGAATCAGAAGAAACAACCGTGGCAGCAATGAGAAAATCCAAGAGAATTTTGACTTTTCTAGTACAGTGATTTTGATCTTATTAATCCCGTTATGTGTACAGTGACGCTCAATATCTGGGATATCGAACCTTTCCCTGCAACAATTGTTAAACTACATATCCCATTATTTACTGACAGTATTTATAATCATAGTCCAGCAACATTTGACTGGTCATGGTTAGACAATGTCTGTATAGGAAACTTGGATCCTTTAACTCTGTAATGTTCCTGTTTGGGGAGAATGGAGGCGAAATACAAATATTATCTAATAGGATTCTCCATCATTCACAAAGACCCTGCCAATCAATCACAATACTGAAAGTGTTGTCAAGGAGATCAGTTTTACAAAACATATTTCCAGATATCACTCCACAATTGCCTTTTTCCACCAAATTATTTTACATATATGAAATGACTCTAAACTAAGTGAAGGAAACCTTTACCAAAGATTCTTCAAGCTGGGAATCCTATCTGTCAACTTTATATCCTCCTCTAAACAAGTTACAAGTTGCCTTTGAAACGTCCTCCTGGTCCATGGGGAGAATACTGGCTCACAATAACCCTTACATTATAGTTTTATCTAATCAATAGACGAGATCTTTACTACTTTACCCGTTGATGATTTCATTGTTTCTTTGGGATTGCGGCTTTACCATTCTGAGACTTGAACACAGCTCACAGCCTGACTTTCAGTTTTATCCTCTGGACTTTCCTGATTATTTGTTAATGCTGATAACATTTCTGACTCTTTGTTAATGTAATGTTTTGGGTTTGTCTTCTCATCCATTTAAATGCCTTTAAAATGTTATTATTATTACATGTATCTAACAATGACATTTTGATATATAACAGTACATTATTATGTATTCCTGTAGATTCAAAATAAATGCTAATAGTATTAAACAAATACAAAATTACACAAAACGTTACTGTATAGTAGATAACATGGAACAGTGTGACAAAAAATAAATAAATAGGCCTACCTCTCACATCACCATGAAAAGCCTTGACATAATGTCATACCCAGGGGTGCATAACACAGGAGGGTCTATGTTGCAAACCTCCTAGGAAACTATAGCACTACAATATATGTGGAGTATAAACTGCAAGAAAGTCCCCTTAATCCAGTGTGCCAAAACAAGGCTGCAGGATGGTACCTCCTTAATCTAGTGTGCCAAAACAAGGCTGCAGGATGGTACATTCTTAATCCAGTGTGCCAAAACAAGGCTGCAGCATTGGACCACTTTAATCCAGTGTGCCAAAACAAGGCTGCAGCATGGTACCTCCTTAATCTAGTGTGCCAAAACAAGGCTGCAGGATGGTACCTCCTTAATCCAGTGTGCCAAAACAAGGCTGCAGCATTGGACCACCTTAATCCAGTGTGCCAAAACAAGGCTGCAGCATGGTACCTCCTTAATCTAGTGTGCCAAAACAAGGCTGCAGGATGGTACCTCCTTAATCCAGTGTGCCAAAACAAGGCTGCAGCATTGGACCACCTTAATCCAGTGTGCCAAAACAAGGCTGCAGGATGGTACCTCCTTAATCCAGTGTGCCAAAACAAGGCTGCAGTGGGAAACCTCCTGGTCCCACATTGTTGACATGCTGTAGGTCTCCATGTGTTAGTGTAGTGAGACTATACAGAATCAGGGAAATCCATTAGATATCTCAGTCTTGAGTTTTACCAAAAAAATGGCGCTGCTCCAAATTAAAAACTAAGTGGACAGTTTTAGTCAGCCAACAATCTGTACGGGTGTTGCAATGTATAGCAAAGTAGTTTTAAAAAGAAAAAGAAGCTTTTTACTGCTACTTTGCCGTACCATTATACATTGCAACACCTGTTCAGATCGTTTGATGGCCATTGTTCCATAACAAGACATTTTTAACATTAGTCTCTACAGCAGCTCTCAAACAAAATTTTAAGTTGGTAGACAGGCCTTATGCCCTACAATGGCCTTATTTATCGTAAACTCCCTTACCTGGTTCTAATGGGTTGGTTACACAAATTATTTATTGAAGGCACCTCTGTAAAACAATTCTTCCAAATCTGTGGACAATATGTATTTACACTAAACATCGCTATTCAAATGAAAATCAAAACCACAATATCGATCTATATCGTGTTCAAAAGTTGTAGCAGATCAACACCAAACTACTCGACCCACATATAAACTTGGACTCACTCATCGTACAAACTCCATTCTTTACATTATTTGTCAAACAAAAAAGACCGACAGCAGGAACATCATTGGTTCTAGTGTTATTTTACATATATCTCTTTGCCTATTTTCAGACTATTACCTGGCTGACTATAAATTTGTCTAGTTTTTTGTTAATTTTTGCTTTTTACAGAATACAGGAGATTAGACTCCTTTGATGAAAGTAAACTCCTAGAGCTTTGTGTAAAGCTAATAGATGAACCTTTATTATTATTATTATTTTATTATTTATATAGCGCCAACAAATTCCGTAGCGCTGTACAATGGGTGGACTAACAGACACATAATTGAGATCAGACCACTGACGTACAGGAACAGAGGGGGTTGAGGGCCCTGCTCGATGAGCTTACATGCTAGAGGGAGTGGGGTATAGTGACACAAAGGGTTAAAGTAGGGGAATTAAATAGTTTGTTACAGAAGGGTTTATTGAGTGCTTGGTAGGTCATTTTTGACAGGTGAAGGAACGGAGTCATGGGGTGGGGGATGAGAAACCTGCTGACAGTTTAATTGATACGCTTTAATAAAGAAGTGAGTTTTCAAAGATTTTTTTGAAGGAATGGAGGCTGGGTGAAAGTCTGATTGAGGAGGGAAGGGAGTTCCACAGAATAGGTGCAGCCCTGGAGAAGTCTTGAAGGCGAGCATCAGAGGTGGGGATCCGGGCAGAGGATAGGAGTAGGTCTTGGGCTGAGCGCAGGGGTCTCGTCGGGACATACTTGTGTATGAGGGAAGATAGGTATGTTGGAGCAGCATTATGTAGGGATTTGTAAGCAAGCGCCAGAATTTTGAATTGGGCCCTATATCTAACTGGAAGCCAATGCAGGGACTGACAGAGCGTGGAGGCGTGGGAGGTGCGACCGGACAGGAAAATAAGCCTCGCAGCCGTATTCATTATAGATTGCAGCGGTGCAAGCTGGGAACATGTAAGACCGGTGAGAAGGGGATTGCAATAGTCAAGGCGAGAGAGAACAACAGCATGAACCAGTACCTTAGCCGCGTCCGGCGTTAGATATGGGCGGATGCGCGCTATGTTCTTGAGTTGGAAGCGACAGGATTTGGCTATCGATTGAACATGGGGAGTAAAAGAGAGATCAGAATCAAAAAGAACTCCTAGGCAGCGAGCCTGGGAGGTAGAGGTGATAGTAGCGCCGTTGACTTGGATGGCGACAGACACAGGAGTAGCAGCACTTGAGGGAGGAAAAACTAGAAGTTCTGTTTTGGACAGGTTGAGTTTAAGGAAGTGAGCAGCCATCCAGTTGGAAATAACAGAGAGGCAGTTAGAAACACGAGTCAAGGTGGGCGGAGAGAGATCAGGGGAGGACAGGTAGATTTGCGTGTCATCTGCATATAAATGGTATATCGTCTGTGTATTGACCAAAGCCACGTAGAAATGTTCTTTAAATTAAAATACTCTCAGCCTTTTAAGTTGAGTTCCTGAAATTTCCTTACAGGTGAAGTCCGTACTCAGCTGAAGATCGATCATATTCCAGTGGGTTCAACAAGTTGGAAAACTGTTTCTAACCCATCCTGGAATAAGACATTTAAACTGGATTTAGATAAGGTACATACGGCATGCGTGTATTATTTTTTTTATTTTGTTTTAGTTTTAATCCATTTGTGGCCCCAGGTAGAATTAATCATTTATAAATCTTCAAACCCTGTAAATAGTTGTCTAACTCTTATTTCTAAACCTTTTAGGACCTTAATGTGTCAGACAGTTAAAATTTAGTTATTTAACATTGGGTTAGTTTATCTTTCTCTAGATATTGTTATAGGATTTTTTAAACAATCTGTGATATAGTGCATATTTTAGAAAATATTTGCCACCACATAGTTTAATTACTTATTTCCCCCAATACACAAGCTTGCCATGTGGATAGAAAATGTATAGGTGCAAACTGATTTTATGTTTACATACTCACCACGTCTGGGTCTGCTTAAAGGACCACTATAGTGCCAGGAAAACATACTCGTTTTCCTGGCACTATAGTGCCCTGAGGGTGCCCCCACCCTCAGGGACCCCCTCCCGCCCGGCTCTGGAAGGGGGAAAGGGTTAAAAACTTACCTTTTTCCAGCGCTGGGCGGGGAGCTCTCCTCCTCCGATCCTCCTTCTCTCCTCCCGTCGGCTGAATGCGCACGCGCGGCAAGAGCTGCGCACGCATTCAGCCGGTCACATAGGAAAGCATTCATAATGCTTTCCTATGGACGCTGGCGTGCTCTCACTGTGAAAATCACAGTGAGAAGCACGCAAGCGCCTCTCGTGGCTGTCAATGAGACAGCCACTAGAGGATTAGAGGGAAGGCTTAACCCATTCATAAACATAGTAGTTTCTCTGAAACTGCTATGTTTATAAAAACATGGGTTAACCCTAGAAGGACCTGGCACCCAGACCACTTCATTAAGCTGAAGTGGTCTGGGTGCCTAGAGTGGTCCTTTAATGCTCTGTACACCTGACCTGGTATGAACTGCGATTAATCTCTCAAAGTGAGCAAGTCCTGCTCAAGCCCACACATGGAAGACTAGTAGCATGGCTAGTAATAGGGCAAAGAATATAACACTTTAAACAAATTTATATCTTTTCATTTACTAACCTCTATATACTGATGAAAAACAATTTTGTTCTTTTAATGTGAAAATTATAAAATGTGGTTTAAATGTGTGGAAATTGTTCCTTACGAAAACATGATTGGTCCAAAACTTTTTTTGTTTAAATAACTATTGCTCATTTAATTTTTACATAGTCTCGGGAGCTAGAAATATCCTTATATTGGCATGATCAGCGATCACTGTGTGCCACAAAGACTCTGAAGTTGGAAGAATTCCTGTTGAACCCGAAACAGAAACTGTGCCTACAACTGGAACCACAGGGCACCCTTTTCATCAAGGTGAGAACCAATCTCTGGCCACTATCAATTTATAGTTATATTTTAATGTAATAATACAGAAAACAAAAGAATGATTACATTACACAACTTTACAATTGAAAGCTGGTGAATGTTCACACTTGGTGAATAAGTGTATAAATATAAATCAAACTGTACTGAAGTGTAAACTGAAATGCACAACTTAGGTAACAATAGGCGATTTGAAAGCATTCCTTAAGTCAGCAATAGTAGTACCTTGGATTTTTAGCCTTAAAGGACACTATATTATGTTTTAAACTATTTATCTAAATGAAGGGCTTTGCTTATTGCGATTACCTGTAGAAGAACAGATTTGAAGCGGTTTACTTTTCCATTTGTGTGTCTGTTTATATGTTGGTTTGGCAAAATAAGATATTACCATTTACTTCCTGCAGTTAACTCTTTCTCCTTGTTTTGGAATAGGTGACGTTTTCCAGTCCTTTCATCCAGAAAAGGCCAAAGCTTCAAACAATTAGGAAATTAATCTCCACAAAACAAGGTAAGTGTATGTTTAACATGCCTCGCATTAAATAGCAAACTGTCCATGGGCCTTTAAAGGCATCTATCAGGCAGAAATGATTATTATTTGGTTAATGACAAGCGATGAAGCCTTGTACCCCAGTACTAGCCCCCAGTGTGATAGAAAACGTCAAGCTTGTCAAGCAGTGTGAATGCACTCAGTAACCAGTGTGGGATTTCACGTTCCATTATCTTACAGGTAGAGAGAATGATACATATACATCCATTCTAACAACCATACTGCAGGATGTACATCTTATAACATATACAGTATACACAGATTAAATTACTTATACCTACCTGAAGCTCATCATTTTCCCTGGATGCCAGTCCCATTAAACACTAAAGGCATTGGCATTATTGGCTATTGTAATATTATAAGCCATAACTCACAATTAATACATTCAAATAAAGTTCTAGGCTTGGAGATTGTGTTCCTTGTTTTTTTGTTTTGCTTTTACGTTAGAGTTTTTGGATTATGATGAAAGCAATTCATCCATTATTGATCTCTGTGTATCATATACAATACTAAAGTTATGTTCTGTGCTACTTTTATAGAAGAGACCACCGAACCAGCTCCACTGGAGAATGCAGCTATTGATGCTCACTCGCTGTCTGTATCGGACACTGAGAGCGTGGAGTCATCGGCGCCGACTTTAGATCCTGAAACAGAAAAGACCATCCAACCAGCTCCAGAAGAGGATGTGGTTACCGACTCTCCTATATTGCTAGTAGCCACTGAGAGCATGCACCCATTAACACCCGATGCTTGTACCATTACAGAAGAGACCTTCCAACAACCTCTAGTGGAAGCTACAAAAATTGACAATGTACCAGTAGTGGACCCAGAGATTGTGGAGTCATCACCGCCAGCTATCAACGCCATCGCTGCAGAAATCATCCAACCACTTCCAGAGGAAGCTAGAATTATTGACAATGCTCCACTGCCAGTAGAGGACTCTGCGAGCATGGAACCATCACCACAAGCTATTGTAAGCTTGCTAGAAATGACAATCCAACCAGCTGTAGAAGAGGATTTAGTTACTGACACTACACCATTGCCAGTAAAGGACACGGACAGCGTGGAGCCATGTATGCCAGCTGTCAATGAAATTACAGAAAAGACAATCCAACCACCTCCAGAGGAGGATGCAGCTATTAATGCTCATTCACTACCAGTAGAGGACTCTGAGAGCGTGGAGCCATTGCGGCCAGCTGTCAAAGATATGGAAAAGATAATCCAACCAGCTCCAGAGGAGGCTGTAGTTATTGACACGCCTCAAGTGCCAGCAGTGGACAATGAGAAAGTGGAATCATCACCACCAGCTGCTGCTACTGATATGGAAAACAACATCCAAACACCAACAGAGAAAGATGCAGTTATTGATGTTGATAACATTGTAGAAGAAACCATTGAACCACCAAAGGGTTTAGTTTGTGACACTGTTCCATTGGCAGAAGCAGATGTCGAAAAGCCATCATCATCAGCTGGGTATTGAGATATTCATCTTTCTCATCAATGCTGTTAACGTATACTATGTGTTATAGGAGCATTTTGTTTTGGGTCTTTGTTTTTTCATGAGGGAGGGGACTGTATGTAATTTTAAATATATTTAAAATTGTGTTCTTTTCTTTGCAGTATTCAGCAAGGAGCTCGGCTGAGCATTCAGGATTTTGATTGTCTCTGTGTGCTGGGAAGAGGAGCATTTGGAAAGGTGGGCTTTGGGGTAAATTCCACTTTCAATATAAAAGGCGTCTAGATAAATGCTAGGTCACAATATATATATGTATTTTACATTTCAGGTTCTACTTGTTGAGGACAAGCGTACAAATATCAAATTTGCTTTAAAAGCCCAGAAAAAACAAGACATAACTGGAACTATAAGAGTACCAAGGTCGGTAAATGGAGAGTACTAATTTTTTTTATTAGTTTTTTTGGATGGTGATACTATTTGTCAGTTTTTATTTGTGCCAAAGAGTTATCTTTATTAAAGTGATTAATTGGGGGCAAGGCCTGAGCCTCATGGCAGCTGGTTGCCATTTAAAAGAAAAAAAAACTAGCATAACAAGAGGACATAGTCTTAAATTAGAGGGACAAAGGTTTAAAAATAATATCAGAAAGTATTATTTTACTGAGAGGGTAGTGGATGCATGGAATAGCCTTCCAGCTGAGGTGGTAGAGGTTAACACAGTGAAGGAGTTTAAGCGTACATGGGATAGGCACTAATGAAAGTATTTAGAAAATTGGGCAGACTAGATGGGCCGAATGGTTCTTGTCTGCCTTCACATTCTATGTTTTTATTTGCATCTTGACAGTGTGTAGCGGATGGCACTGGGCTGTCCTGCAAATGTCTTGTGAATAGCTGCATTCGTGTAAATTGCTGGGTTTTTGTATGTGTATAAAAGAATTGTATTCCTCTGATTGTTCGGTAGAATCATTCGAATAGACTAAGGGAATGAAACTACCGAACAATCAGACCTCCTCTATGTGAAGTGTGTCCTCAATTACCCGTTGCAACATTGTTGCAAACGGGTAATTGACAAGTTAGGTAGCCGTCCTTTGTTCTCGGGGGTGGCCGCCATTCGACAAACGAACACGTGGCGGCGGCCATTTTAAAACTCCCGAACAGCGGTGTTTTGCCGTCGAGTGTCTGGAACTCAAATCGGACACTCGACTAGGCGAACACCGCTGAAACCTCCACAAGCCCGGTCCGTTCGGTTCCTAACTACCGAACGGCCCCTCGTTCGGTAGACAGGAAGAACCGAACGAGGGGATTCAGGCGAACCCTCCCTAGCCTCTATAGCTAGAGGCTTTCGTACAGTTTGTTCCCTTATTCCAGGACCGACCGCAGGGCCCATTCGCATGGAACCGCATTCGGCTGTCTCAGTCAGTGCGGTCGGTCATTTTATTCCCTCCATACATTTCCCGAACCCCTGGTCTGATCTGGGTGATTTTTGGATATGTTGTTCACCCAGATCAGGGCTATCAGGGGATGTAGGATTTAAAGGGGTACCCCTACGTTTAGGGGTACATCCAGAAACGGGGGGAATTGCTAGACTGGATAAGGGGATTATGATGCAGGCTGAGGGGAGGAGATGTGTGGGAGGTTACCAGGACAGGATTGGCTACTGTACTAATGATTGTAAATCCCTCCCTTGCATGGGAGCATGCTTTAAAAGGACAGTGTGGATTAAAAGATTGCAGTTCTGCTCCTGAAACTGTGTGTCGTCCAGTTATTGGGATTGCTGTTGGGATATTGCTGTTATTTTACATGCTGGAAACCTTGCCTGTGGATTTACTATTTACTTGTTCCTGAGCCTCACTTGGATTATAAGCGGAGATAACCTGGGCAATATTGCATCTCCGCTACACAGTGCTCCTCACATAGCTCCTAGTTTAATAGAGAAAAAGGGGTAGGGTCGCACTCAGCTACAGCAATTCAGCCCAGGGTGCTACTGAGCATGGGTCAGCAAAAAAACCCAAGTAATATATACAAACAGAAAAATATCAGGCACTCACTGCGAATTGTTTGCAGGCAGATTTATTGCAACGTTTTGACCTGTTAAGGTCTTTATCAAGCTTAACAGGTTGAAACGTTGCAATAAATCTGCCTGCAAACAATTCGCAGTGAGTGCCTGAGATTTTTCTATTTGTATAGCTCCTAGTTTAAGCTTATTCTTGAGGCAAATTGCATTCTCAATCAACACATTCAGTGCCCTACCAGTTGCTAACCCTGAATGGAACAGTCCGGTTTCTAGAGGTGCCAATGTCTCTAGGGCGGAGCCGACCAGGCTTAGTGAAGGCACTGGGCAGGAGAGGCAGCCAATCTTCTGTCCTGTGAAGCACAACTCTCTTGCTGAGACCTACAGTGTCCCCCCTGGGCCGGGGGGGAGGGGGTGGTCTCCACTGCGCTACCTGTCACCAGTCTGGAATCGTACAGCAGTGTGAGAGATGGTGGCAGGACCCCTGTGGGCATTACTTAACTGAAAGCAACTGCTCCTCGTTTCCACGATCCCCCTGTGCTGAAGGTCACTAAGGGCTTCCTCACCTTGCATGAACCACACCAGCAATCAGCGACAAACCATACCACTCCTCAACTGTACCTTAGATGGGAAGAACTTCGACTTTGTCAGTTCTCAAGTCTGTGGATCAGGGATGCAGGCCTACACAAAGGCCTGGGGCTATGGAGGTGTCTTGCCTCACCGTTCAATTACAGCTATTCTTCATATTTAGAGACTGAGAATTGGCTAAACATGTGACTCACTACAGCATATAGCCATAACACCTCCTGTATGAGCTTTGCTGGGTTTCCTGAAGGACTCCAACTTCCATTCTGCGTTCAGCTTTTCAGTCAAAAAGTGTTATCATTGACTTTACCTTAGTCTTACATTTTTTTTCTTTTATCTTTTATTTCGTATCATTTATGTTGCGTAGATGAGAGACTCTGGTAGAGCTTTTAGATGCAGTGGTACTCCTCAGGGTAATGGCTTAGCATGTGATTTAGCATTCTTACCCCATGTTACTTCATCAGTTGTCACCGTGTCTGGAAAAGCTACTCGTTAGCAAACCTCTATCTTAATATATACCCAGACATGACTCTCCAGCTTATCATTACTATATTCTAAAAATGTACATTTACTCTACATGCCATGCTGACGCTTTATACAATTTCTTATTACTAGGCTTGTAAATGTTGTCGTGGCACTACAAGTATGAATGTTATTATTTGCACAGCAAAAAAAAAAAAAGAATTAAAATAAAAGGTGATTAATTTAATTATTCCTTTTTTATTTCCAAGACTTATATGTGAAAAGGAAATCCTACAGACTGTGAGCGAAGTACAACATCCATTCCTTGTTAACATGTTGGCAAGTTTCCAGACTCAGGGTCATTTCTGTTTTTTAATGGAGTATGCCGCTGGTGGGGACTTAATGACCCATATTAGGAACAACAACTTTCAGCCATTTTCTACAACTAGAGCTGTGTAAGTAACAATAGTTTTGAGATTATGGAAACGGATTGTCGGGGTTTGGTCGGTAAAGGGTGCTGACTGCAGCAGCAATCACCGTAAGTAGGAAATTAATACCTATATAAATACAAAACAATAAGGGAAAGATAACAAGTATGTTAGCTACACGAAAACAAGTGGATTACAAATGCAAAACAAGAGAAAAGAGAAATTTAATATGAGGATACTGGAGGCCTCTGGGTCTCTGACCTTCTGGACACAGGATCTCCAGGAGCAGGACACAGGGAGCAACTCCAGAACAAATCCAATGAACTGACACAGAAAGGGCATAGGGATAGAGGCAGCTGCAGACTTGAATATAAGTATGATTTTACTATATTTAGGGAGACATGGGGGGCTAGATGGTGGTTTTAGCACAATAGGGTCAGGAATACAGGTTTTTGTTCCTGACCCTATAGTGTTCCTTTAAGGTGGACTAGAAATTTGAAAAAAATCCAAAACAGATTAAGCGGACTGTTAATACCGAAGATACAAGACGTTGCAGGAAATATGTCTGAGCATAGATTGACACAGGATGGTGGAATCAAACTATTCAGTGGTACAAAAACTTAATTTCCTTCCCTAAAATAAAACTAACTTATTCTCTTTTCTACAGGTTTTATGCGGCATGTTGTGTGCTCGGCCTGGAATTCTTGCATCAAAACGATATTGTTCACAGGTAAGTGTACAGGAAAAAATAAAGTTGAACATACATACATAGTGTCCCCATAAATATTATCTGTGTTATTTACTGTATTGTGATCGAAATGCTGTGTCTGTGGTTTGATTGATTATTTATGTTATCATAGTAACTATTTTTGTCTTATATTAGTTAATTCTTTAAATCTAATTTTTAAAAAGGCTAAAAAAAGAAAACCATGTAATTCAAGTGCCTCTAGTGATATTGAAAAAATAAAAAAGATTTTTCTGCATTTTAAATCCAGAGATCTCAAATTGGCAAACATTGTCATAGACATAGATGGATTCGCCAAAATTACAGACTTCGGTCTTAGTAAACAAGGTAAAAATTATTTTATATTAAACAAAAGTAATTTCTCACAAAGTTGCACAATTTAACTTTACCTACAGATAACAAATAACATCCACCTGCAAACCGAATAAAAGAATATATGAAACACAAAACAGTTATTCACTAAAGTCTGATTGGCTTTGTACTGAATGGGGCAAAACCATCTGACTGCATACAGAGCCATTCAGACTCCAAATGGCCAAAATTTTCAAACTTCTTTCCCACAGGCAGTTATAGAAACCAGCAGGCAAATAGTTAAAGCCTTGGCAACTGCAAGGGTTAATTATGTTGCACTTGGCCAAAATATATAAATAAAATCCCTGTGGGGACCAGTAAGATCGCCATATGACTATAAGGAAATTTAAAACCTCCCTCTTCCCTTAACTGCCATAGGCACCGGTTAAAACTAGCGACTGGGCAACCAATGGCAATAGTAAATAATTAGGAGCACAAAGTCCCCTGTGTCCCCACCTGTGGGCATTTGGTGGGGGGCTAGAAATCAATAATGCAGGTCGACAGTTGGTGGAAGGCTACTAATTTTATACCGGGGTAACCTAATGTCCCCACCACATTCTGGATGGGGGCTCTAAATAATTAAACAATGGGAGGTTATCTTCAGCCCCAAAAAAGCCACATTAATATCCATCATCCTGCAATGTAACACTTAAAAATCCCAATTGCAAAAACCTGCCCAAAAAATGATAAACCTGACAACTTAAATAAATCTTTCTTTGTCCTGCGAGGGCTAGTGCAGTATGAAGCTTTAAAGTGGGAATTGCCCTTATAAAGGCTTTCCCACACATTGCAGTCTCATTAGAGCACTCTGATTGGCTGCTTGTCAGCCACAGATTCGTAACCAC